TTCTGCAAGTAACCCCAATAAACCCAATGGTTCACCAAGCTAGACTTGGGTGGAATCCTTTTTTTTTTCTTCAGCTTTTGGTCTGTGTCCTATCTGGGGTGAAAAGATGCTTCCTCAAAACTTCCCAGGAAAAAATTTCACCCAACAACATCAAATCCCGAAATTCTACTGTATTAGTTTCCTAGGGCAGATGTTACCAAGTACCACAAAACTAGGGGCCTTAAAATAACAGAAATGTATTCTTTCGCAGGCTTGGATACTAGTTTTCCTCGGAGACAGCTGGTCAGAAATTTTGGAGCCACTAATATACTGCTACAGTGGTGGTGTATGGTCAGGTATATTAAACATAATAGCTCATTTAATACAGTGATTCTAAAGGCCTGGAATGATTATCCCAATAATAATAATAATGATAATAATAATAATAATAAATAATTATAGCTCAGAAAGTTCAGGGTACCCAAGAGGAACTGCAGAGAAGAGATCTAAATCCAGCTATGTCTGATTTAAGTCTATCCCCTTTCCATGATCTCCTGCCATCACCTAATTTAAAACAAAACAGGTCTTTGTCTTTGAAGTCAGCTTTTGCATTCAAAATATGCATCAAAATTCAGTTCTTTGGGGGAATGGAGAGATGGCTCAGTGGTTAAGAGTATTAGCTGCTCTTCCAGAGGACCCGGATGCGGTTCCCAGCACCCAATGGTGGCTAACAACCATCCAGTTCCTTGGGATCTGACATCCTTTTCTGACCTCCATGGGCACTGCACGACATGACATGGGTGCACTTACATACATGCAGACAATATACTCATACATGTAAAAAACAAAAATAATAAAATACTTAAAAAATTTAGTTTTCTCACAACTTGCCTTCTCCCAGGCATTCTAATGGCAGATATGAGAAAATTAAAGATGACAAACGTGGTGACAGGTTTTCTTTATGTGCAACAGTATCCAGGTAGTTCTTACCATGCAACAGCAGTGGCTTTTGTGTTAGATCAGATGTTAGCCACAGGCAAAAGAATATTTGTGAATGAGAGGAGTCTCGATTCTTTTATTAGAAGTCTTTCTAAAAATTATATAAATTGCATCTGTGTGATCTGCTATTTTTTTCTCCTTAAATAATTTGAAATCCTTGTCATTCTCTTTAACTGTGGCTTAATTCACATCCACGTTTCTCTAATTTGACTATTGCCATGGCTTCCAAGTCTCTCCCCCTCCAATTTCCTCCCATCTTACCTACCGTTGACACTACTGACTCATCCTGATGCTCAAAAGTATGTTTTTGACTTTTATTTTGAGGCAAGATCTCTAACTGTGCTGCCCAAGCTGTCCTCCAAGACTCCATCCTCTTGTCTCAGCCTCTGGAGTAACTCTGAGAGCATCTGCCTACCACCATGCTTGGCTCACACACTGTAAGTACTTTAGAGCTGGAGGTGGAGGTCAATGGTACAGCACTTGCTCAGCATGCACAGGACCTTAGACCTATCCACATTACAGCAAATAAAAGATACACATAAAATAAGCTGAAATGTGTTATAGTCATTTATCTAATAATCACTAAGTGTGCTCTGTGTCAGATGTCACTCCAGCTATGTATCAAAGGAACAAAAATTCCTGTCCACTAGGAACTTATTTCTGTAATATTCATCATTGCAATTATGTTGGTCCTATATATTCTGTTACACATCTTGCAGGTTATGTGAGAAATGGTGGTGGTATTTTTCTTTTCCTTAAATACCCACTATGGGTCAGCCGTTACCTTAAACCCTTTGCATACAAATTATGTTCCAGCAGCTTGCATAGAAGCCTGTACTAGTCTGACTCTACACATAAGCAGATGAAGATTCTGAGAGTTTAAATAAGTTCAGAACTAGATATTTAAAAAATGATTGTAGGCAAGATTTAAACCTGGTACTTTTATTATCAAGACCTTGGCCCTGAGATTTTCCATCTTCTTTTATGAATGACTGAAGCTCTTTGCAAACAGATAAGCACTGAAAAGGTGTGCTTATACTTTTACAAACTCTCCCTCCCTCCCTGCCTCCCTCCCTGCCTCCCTGCCTCCCTCCCTCCCTCCCTCCCTCCCTTCTTTCTTTCTCTTTGAGACAGGGTCTTCCTATCTGGCCTCAAAATATCTATCTCCTGCCTACCTGTCTCACCCTCCCAAGTGCTGAGATTACAGATGTATGACACAATGCTTGGTTTCTCAGGTTTCTTCTTATAAGGACCTAATTCCATGAACAGGGATCTCTGTACAAAGTCACACCTGCTCACCTCTTGAAGATCTTCCTCCAGAGAACTTTTAAGGGAAAAGAAAAAAAAAGATTAAACAAATACGATTTATATTCTGTAACATGAATTTATATTTTGACTTTCAATCCATGAATTGTGAATGCCAGGGAAGTTCTTGGGGCATGTGGGGCAAACATGAAGCTGGGTAGACCAATATCATAGATTTGACTCAGACATAGATCATTTAGTTTCCTGCAATGAACAACTATTTCCTGGGCATAGACCAGACCAGGTGTCTGTATGCCCTCATGACTTTCCAAATGACTACCAGAATGACATATTGTAAAAGTGTATGACCAGAGCAGACATACCCTTTTCCAGGAGTAATTAAGTTTAAAGAAGCACGCCCAAACTCAGGGGTCTTTGTCATCAGTCTTATATATGAAGACCAGAACTATGATTCTTTAAAATTATATAAAAACGTAAGATTGGATTTGTAAGTTAATGTTTCCATAAATGATGGAGGAAACTAGTACTTAAAACTTGGAGATATATGTATTTAAGAGGCATTAAATTTTCCCTGGAAATTCATTACTAAATTTAAATTGTGTTTCTCATGGGGGATGTCTTTAAAATATAAATAAGATTTACTTTAATTCATAAAGGATACATTCGTTCAGTCTTTATTTTTTTATTATTATTTTGATGTGTATGAGTGTATTGCCTGCATGTATGTGAGTGTACCCATGTTGTGCAATGCCGCTGAGGTCAGAAGAGGGCATCGGATTTCCCTGGAACTGGAGTTAAGGATGGTTTGTAGCTGCTGGGAATCGAACCCGGGTCCTCTGCAAGAGCAGTCAGTGCTCTTAATCGCTGAGCCATCTCTCCAGCCCCTCGTTCCGTCTTTAAACATATAAAGAAAAAATAAAGATCCAGTTTTTTCTTTACATTTGCCTCATTCTGCATCATTGTCTCTGAATCTCAGCACTGTGCCATGCCAGAGCCAGATGACTTTGTGGCAGAGATCCTTTTCCTTACCCAAATGTTGGATCCCTCAAATTCTTATGCTGAAACCTAACCCTCAGTTCAACAGCACTAACAGCCTTTAACCTTTGGAGGTGATTAGGTCATGAGGATTCTTACAAGTTGTCATCCTGGTAGCCATCTGGAAAGCGGTCAGCTGAGGACAGATATCTTTTCTGACTGGGAAGCAGTTGTTCTTTGTGGGAAACTCAATAATCTGTGTTCGACTTAAATCTGAGAATCATGTTTTCCTACCATGTCCTAAGTAGCTTTTCTGGCCTCCGGAAACTCACTTCATGAATTGAAAGTCAAAATATAAACTCATACGAGAAAGTAGAGTGCATGTTCATTTTATCCTTCTTATTTTCCTTTAAAAGTAGTCCACAGAGGTTCTTTGAGTAGGATGGGAGCAGCTCAAGAAGAGCAGGGCAGGTGTGGCTTGGGATTAAAAAAAAAAAAAACTGTTTATCAGAGGCCTAGAGTTTGTTTACAAAGGAATCTGTTTCTCGACAGAAATGAAAATAAATTACTGGCTCTTTTCTAGTATCTCTCTATATAAGGATACACACACTCTTAGTTCAGCATAAGTTTTAGCTTAAAGAACAAAGACTGGGAGGTGCTTTTTGCCAACTGTTCCATAAGATTCTGAGGTTAAGTACGTTTAGCATTAGTTTTCACCAGTGGTTTCTAAACACAACTGGCTTTCCTTCTAACAGACTTGGTTCCTTCTGAGTTATCTTTAAACATCTTCAAGGAAAATATCATCCCTCTTGAGAGTTTTTATGGCATGTGACAAGGTCATTGTCCATACCTTCAGTGGTTCATCCTCCTGATAATCAGCCGGGGTAATCCTGGCCACATGACCAATATGACTACTGAGTCATATTGAGCTGAAGACAAGAATCATGTCATTTTGTTCATCTCTGTGAGAGAACAGAGTGAGCATTCAAATGTAACACCTGTAATTAGAAAGGTCTCTGGTTTTGCCATAGGTCTTTTAAGGATGAGGTAATTTTGGGGGTGTTGAAAAAGCAGCAGTTATTTAAGACTTTTCACTACAGTTTATTTATGCCTCAGTAAATTCTTTATGTTCTGTTAAAGAACTTCTGATGTCTGGTCTCAGGGTCCTAAGACCCTGGGTCTCAGGTGTTTATTTGTACTGGAAAGTCAACCTAGGACCCTGTGCTTGCTGGGCAAGCACTGTACCATCCGCAGCTCTACTGAATGTTATTAAGCTCATGCTTAGAATTTAAACCGTCTTAAATTGCTTGGTTTTTGTTTGATTGTTTCTGTAGGTGCTGAGGATAGAACCTAGGACCTCAAGAATGCTAGGCCAGCGCTCTGCCTCCAAGTTCCACTGCTAGTTTCTCTCCATTTCTTATAGTGCCTTCACAGCTCCTAACATCATCTTCCTGGGATCCAAGCGGCTTTGAACAAAAGAGAAAGTCTGTGAATAGCCTGGGACCTAGGGAGTCAGGTTTCATTTAAGAACAAAGAGTAGGGCAGCGATTAGGTTAGGCAAGGTGGGAAAGGGATCTGCAGGTAAAGCACCAGAAAGTTACAACTTGGGTTATTTTTTAACTGGCGTCCTATAAACCGACGCCGTGTAGGTGTCTCACTCGCTAACTAGTAAATGAACTTCAGGTTCTTTAGTGGAGGAGACTTAGCCAGCTGAGATTCTGGCAGCCATTCAACGACCCCGCCCTCGGAGTCCCAAGGGGGCGTCTTCTGGAGAGTCAGCGTGTCTGGGGCGAAGGCACTTGGGGCCGGAAGGGAGGAGGGCGAGGACCGCGAGCCCCCAGAGCACCCCGATTGAGGTCTGGGTCCCCGGGCGTGGAAACTTCCCGCGCGGCCCGCAGCACGGGAGGGGGCGGTGGTTCCGCTACCGGAGGAGAGCACCGCTCGAGGCTCGGAGTGCGCGGCGGCCGCCGCCTCCTCGCGTCCCCGCCTCCGCCGCGCAGCCTCCTCCCTCCGCCGGCTCGGCCTCCTGCTCCCTCCTCTCGTGGCTGGCTCCGGCGGCGGCGGCAGACTGGGAGGGCGTGCGTCCGCTGAGAGGTGTCGGCGGCCGGGCTAGGGAAGTTTCAGTGGAAGGTCGTCCGCCGGCCGGCGCGTCCTCCTGTTCTCCTCCCGCAGCATCATGGCGGAGCCGAGCGGCTCGCCCGTGCACGTCCAGCTTCCTCAGCAGGCGGCCCCGGTGACAGCGGCGACGGCGGCTCTAGCGGCCGCGACAGCAACG